TATAGTGTATAATATCTTTAAACATGTTATGTATATAACATGTTATGTATAAAAGAGAAACCAGTGGTTTCTTTTTTTTCTTCTTCTAAAATACAGAATAAAACACTTTGAAACACGTTGAAACCAGAATACGAATCACGGCGCTTTGCTGTGGAAACTCTTTAAGCTAACTACTCGGCCACACATGCGTGTAGCCTAACGAATATTTCAAAACTATTCAAAAAATAGAACATTTTATATAATGGAAATAAGTGCAATGGATTAAAATTAAGGAGATGTTCCCGCAATGCAATCTTCAAGTAAAAGTAAAACTTGATACATGTTTTGGTCACTAAAAGGTAGGTGGAAAACCGTTGGTTGATTTTGTGGAAAGAATTATCTGCAGGTAAAAAATCCTAACACTTTTAAAATGACACTTTCTATCGCTTCAAAAAAAGTGCTGGAACTTTTTTTTTTTTTTTTTTTGTTCTTTTTACTACATTTTAAATAAGCATTTTGTTACAATATTTAAAATACAAATAAATAATAATATATATATATATATATATATATATATATATATATATATATATATATATATATATATATATATATATATATATATATATATATATATATATATATATATATATATATATATATATAATGATCGTTATTAAATATTAAAAGAACGCGGAGACTCGTACGGTCTTGACGTCGAGTACCGCTAAGAAATGTTCGTGTAAAAATTTATAAGATATTTACGAGATAAAAAAATAAGTAACGAAGTAAGAAACTTAAAATATTCCGTTACAAATACAAGATACAGTGTTACATATTACAGTTGTTAATGATACATATATAGTTTTATAGAATTCATGTTTAAATAGAGGATAAAAAGGAAGATCTTAAAATAATAATAAAAGTATACTGTTAAACCTTCGATTGTAAAAATGAGTTTTTTAAGCTTTCGTTTAAAAGAAAAATAGTTACTTAGATGAATAAAATCTTAAGTAAAATTTTTTTAAAACTATTTTATTCCATAAGAATGGTCCGCGATAATCAATACAAAATTTAAAAAGATTTGTTTGAAAAATGGCCTGCTTAACAAAATTATCATTGCGTAAAATGATTCATTTTTATCTTTTGATGAAAAAAAATTATGAAAGAGATCGGGGATAAATTGGTTTTACATTTAAACATAAAACAAAGAATATTAAAAATATTAAGCTCATATATATTAAAAACTTTCATTTCAAATAATAAAGGCTTAACATGAGTATAACGGTCTTTAAAATATATAAGACGTGCTACATTGTTCTGCTGACAATAAAGAGGTTTAAGTTTATTTTTATTTGTATTACCCCAAGCAATGCTTGCATAGTTTATGTGACAATGAAGGAGTGGTATAATTTTACTAAAGTATGTTTATTTAAAACATTTCTTGCTTTGTACATTATTCCTATACTTTTTGAAATTTTACTTAATAAGTTTTTAATTTGATTTTTCCATGTAAGATTTTCATCTATACAAACACCTAGAAAGTTGGTTACTGTTACTTGTTTAATTTGTATACTGTCAATAACAAGATGAGGCATGTTAATGGGCAGTTTATGTTTTTTGATAAGAGGATGGAAAAGAATCCATTTAGTTTTATGAATATTAAGAGATAATTTGTTGGTCTTAAACCCTAACCCTAATAAAACTAATAAAAGACATTTCTAAAAAAAATTGGAACTAATAAAAGACATTTGTAAAAAAAATTTGATATCAGGTTTTGTTAAGTGTGGAGTTTTTCCTTGAGATACAAAACTTCTTATTAATCGCCTGCCACTGCAGGATCGACTATCTATTGATCTAAGTCTTATTTCTAAAGTATTTATCAGCCATGTGAATGACATTTGTGTAGACCTTGGACCTTCAATATTAAAGTACAAAAAAAAATGTTCCACCAGGAAAGAAAATCTATCCTGACTCAAAAGAATCAGATGTGATACCAGTCAAAAATACCCTAAAAGCGTCCCAGAAACGTAAAAAAAAGTTAAAGGTGATATCTCTAGTGAAATATCTAACAGTGAATAAAAGTATAAGCTATGTGCTTTTAAATCTGACTGAAACAATTATATTTAAACATTATATATTTACATAGAGTAGTAACACACCTGCCAATTTAGTTATTGTTTTATTATTACAAAACAAAAAAAATATTTAATACAGTATACAAAGCTTTTTGTATTACTTCTGATTTTTTTTTTTTTTTTTTTTTTATATAGATCGAAAGACATTTGTTTTAACAATATAAAGGTATTTCTTCAAGTAAATTTTAGGTAAGTATTTGTTTTAACATAATGGAGGCAAGGCCGACGCGATAGGGGTGTGTGGGGGGGACCTAGTTACTCGGCAAATGTGGACCCTTTCGATATAGGTTAGACAGTCGGTAAATGTCGTCATGACAGTCGGCAAATTTTGAAAAACGAAGACCTTTTTTTTTTTTTAGTCGGCAAAAGTTGTAATGGCACCCCCCCCCCACGTGACACCTACTCGCGCCGACCCTGTATGGAGGTATTTACTTAGGTATTTTGTTACTAAATGAAACAAAACAGCAGAACAAGTATTCATGGCTTAAAGAAACACAAACCCCGGGTAACATAAGCCAGTTTTTGAAAAACTAAAATGTATACTGTTTTTAATCTATATTATAAATCAATTATCTCGAATTAAAGGTTGATATCTTTATCAATAATTTGAATGAAAAAAAATAGTTTGAATAGAGCAAAATTGATCGTTAAAACTAAAAATCGCTATAAAGTGAAATAAAGTTTTCCACTTTAATCCACTGTTAAGGCACTTATTTTTATACCTTTTTTTACTAAAAAAATGATGTTTTTTTTAAAATCTCCTTTAATAAGTATCAGACATGTTAAAAATTTTATCAAACAGTTAACTTTTTTAATTTTTCCTTTAAACGTAGTCTTATTTTAGTAATTTTTTATTTATACAAAGGTGGATCCTACAAGCAAAACATTTTGGGATATCTTTTATATTTTCAGGATTAAAATCTTTATAAAATTCTTTACAACAATGAACTACAATTGCTATTAAAATTTGATAAAAACTGGAATTATTGATGTCCCATCCCTGGAAATATAAATTTAAAAAATTAAAAAAGTTGTCTTGATTTTTCTACAAAAAAATCTTTACAAAAACTTATTTTATGTGGTCATTTTTAAAAAAATTTTAACCGAATATGAAATTTTCATAAAATTTAAAAAAAAATGTTATGTTGTTATGATAAATGTTATGCTTGCTATGGACTAAAGTTTAATAAATAAACTATTTTTTTAACCCATTTTAAATTTAACAACTTTACTTTTTTGGCCAAAATTTTAATCTTATTAAATTTTACGATGATATGAAGTAATATCTTTTTTTATTTAATTATTAACTCATTCCAAAAAACAAACAAAATTTATTTCTGCAATTTGAATTGTCAACAAATTAGAAACCTCTATGTTTTATTTTATGTTATTTATAAGTAAAGTTTATTTTGAATATGTTATATGATAACTTAAATAACAGTGGCGAAGTAACCAGAGCGTACGCTTTAGAACTCATATGGCTGTATATATGATATTTGTAAGGAAGGTAATATGAAACTCCTAGCTAAATGTGCTCTGTGACAAATTTTTAGATCTTCATAGAACACCTTTATAATCAGAAAAATTGGCGATAAAATAATCTATAATTACTAAAATATTCGTCTCTAAGCAGGGATCCAGGTATTGACCCGGATCGTTTCTATTTTTTTTTTTTTTTTCGTGTCAAGACTACAGCAACTTTATTTTATAAGATATTTTTTAATACTTAATTATCAATTTATTTTCATATATATATATATATATATATATATATATATATATATATATATATATATATATATATATATATATATATATATATATATATATATATATATATATATATATATATATGCATATATATATATATATATATGCATATATATATATATATACATATATATACATATATATATATATATATATATATATATATATGCATTTATATATATATATATATGCATATATATATATATATATATATATATATATATATATATATATGCATATATATATATATACATATATATACATATATATATATATATATATATATATATGCATTTATATATATATATATATATATGCATATATATATATATATATATATATATATATATATGCATTTATATATATATATATATATATATGCATATATATATATATATATATATATATATATATATATATATATATATATATATATATATATATATATATATATATATATATATATATGTATATATATATATATATATATATATTTATATATATATATATTTATATATATATATATATATTTATATATATATATATATATATATATATATATATATATATATATATATATATATATATATATATATATATATATATATATATATATATATATATATATATATATATATATATATATATATATATATATATATATATATATATATATACATATATATATATATATATATATATATATATATATATATATATATATATATTATATATATATATATATATATATATATATATATATATATATATATATATATGCATATATATATATATATATATATATAAATGCATATATATATATATATATATATATATATATATGCATATATATATATATATATATATAAATGCATATATATATATATATATATATATATATATGTATATATATGTATATATATATATATGCATATATATATATATATATGCATATATATATATATATATATATATATATATATATATATATATATATATATATATATATATATATATATATATATATATATATATATATATATATATATATATATATATATATAGATCGTATTAAGCATGATTGAAACACTAAATGTAATAGTTAAGAAGACGTTAAGAAACGTATTTGTTTGTTTTAAAAACAAAACTTACAAATAAATATAAAATAATTAAAACACTATTTTATTTAAAGAAAATGAAAGAGTTAGTTTTTAATATTTATTCCATGGCTTGAACGTCATGGTTTTTCTTCATATGTTTAATAAGGGCGTATTTTTGCAAAAATTCACTGGGGCATAGTCCGCATTTGTGCATTTGTTCCCCTGTATGAATTCTTCTATGCTGTTTGTAAACATTAGATCGCATAAACTTTTTTCCACAAAACTCGCATTGAAAAGGTTTATACCCTCGATGAATAATACGGTGTTGACGCAAGTTACTGCTAAGTGTGAACCCTTGGCCGCATTCACTACATTTAAATGGTTTTTCATCAGATGAATGACCACGCAAATGTTTGTAGAGTAGACTTTTTGTCGGAAAAAGTTCGTTGCAAATTTTACATAATAATCCTTTACCTGAGTGTGTTGATGAGTCTGGACTAACTCCTGATTGTATTGGATAACTTACTTCAGATTCAGCTGGGGATTGGGGAGAATCATCTTCTTCTTTAGTTTCGTATTTAAGTTCGTCCATTTCTTTACTTACTCTTGTTATTTCGTGTTTAGTTAAATTAATTTTTTTTTCTCCAATACTTTGTTCAGATACTTCATTAAAGTCATTAGGTAAAACAAACACTGGGGGAGCTTCAGGAGGGTGAGACTGTGTGTATTGAAATTCTGGATGATATCGTAGTTTCTGTACAGGAGATGACAACCCTTTTCGATCTACCAAAAAGTCTTCGTTATTTTTATTGTTATCAATAATACAATTATCTTCTAATGCGGAATACATTCTTTTTTTATATTTGTCAACATCAACATTATGACAATGCTGAAAACGGTGTATTGAAAAATTATCGTCATTTTTCTGAATAATAGCCTGAGGATTAAAAATATGTGCATATTGTTTCGAGTCCCATTTTACTCTTTCTGAAGTTAAAAAGTTGTATTGAGGCATTCTATTATAATGGGTAGCCTCCATTTTAATACGCTGCATATAAGATTGTTGGTTATCATAAATTGGCGATGGAGTTCGATGCTTACGTAAAAAATTTGCATTTTTTTCCGAGCACATATACGGTGCTGTTCGAATGTTTTCATGAAATTTCGGTTCAAAATCGCTGATTTTAGTGCCATGCTTGCTAATTTGAGATACATACCTACCATTTAAACAAATTAAAGACTCTTTTATTGGCTTATCTTCCTCATAAGAGCTGACTTCTCGCCTGATTTGTCTAAAATCATCATATGATTCTGTAGGATTTACCTCTGTGTTTATCCCGACACTGACAAAACTTTTTAACTTCCATGATTCTTTTAGGCATTCTATGCATCGCTTGGTTGAAGCAACTTCTTTAGTATAAACTGGATCATCTAAATAATAGCATATGTTTATGATATATGTTGATAATATATGTTTATTTATCTTAATTTAATTTTTTTCTTCTCCGAAATATTTTTGGTTTTTGAAAATCTTGATGACAAATAGAAACTAAAGAATGTCTTTATTCTAATACTATTAAATTGGTCATTCTTACCTGATAAAAGTACATCGTATGATGACTCGTATAATGATGTGTCATCTAAAGTAATTATACATGGTATTCCATCTTTATGATTTCTTGGCCTTAATCCCAGAATTTGTGATTTTGATTTCCTTTGTGATTGATACAACAGTTTTGCAACTTTTAAAGTAGTTCCCTGTTCAACGGTCATCACAGAATAACCTGATTCGTAAATGGTCACCTAAAAACAATATAATTTTCAAAAAAATTCTGAAAAAAAAAAAGTTTACATATAAATTTACTTTATCAGTATCTTAGCAACCTATCTAGTATTATCAGCATTTAATTTAAGTCTATTTTGTACTATTCGTTAGTAATGCAAATCATCGCTCATATCATAGGAACTCCCTCCCTACCGATGCAAGAATATATTGATTAATGTGAAGTGACTCGACTCTTTTAATTCAAATTAATGTTATAAAATACACATGAAATAATAATGAAGCCCATCCGAAATAAAAAATTTACAAAATGTCGGCACAGAGCGCCGTCTAGCAGAACAAAGCATAAAACTAAGAGTAAAAATGGATAAAATTAAATTTATATACAAGTTTTAAAAAAGATTAAGTCTGGACAAATTACTGACGAGCGTAAGAAGTTTATAAATTTTTTAATACCAGTTTCTTTTTTTAAATGTTTTTTTTTATATACCAACAAAACCCCTTAAAAATTGCAACTATTTCAACAATATCTTCTAAAGCAAATGGTTATGAAAAAAAGCATAGGGGGTAATGAAGTTCGTTCAATCTTTTTTGAACTCAATGAACATATTTTTTAATGCTTTGCATTTTTCATAATTTCACAAGACAATTTTACGACGCGCTTTTCTTAGAGGAAAAACAAAAGCTGCGTGCCGCTAAAAATATTCCTATTAGAAAGAACAAAAGAAATTGTTTTATTCAAAAAAAAAAAGTTCTAAATAGCATCTGTTGCACAATTATCTCGATGATTAATCTCGATAACTACACTTTTGTGAAATTGAAAAAATAAGTATCAATTTTTACTATTTTTTCAAAATGACGACACCTAATTCTTTAAAAGGGATAAAATGGGAGTCGCTTCACTCATATCATTAGGATAAATTTGTAAGAAAAATTTGAACAAAACAAAAATAACCAACTTTAAACTTAAGGAAACGTCTAGAAACGACTTGTGACGGATGCATTCAAAAGAATACTCTATTTAAAAAAAAAAAAACTTTTTTATGATTTATTTTTAAACACTTCCAGCAATCCACAACCTAACCACCATTTCTTTAGTAGAAAGTTTTAGCTTGATGTACTTTTTTTAAATATTTTTTATTCGATTCAAATGGATAAAACAGATAAAAATGCCGAAAAACGATATGCAAAACTGATATCAATATAAATGAATATATTAGTAAAGGTAATTTAAAAAAAAAAAAAAAATCATCAAAAATAATATCTGCAGAGAAATACCTTTAACGATATTATTTAAAAAATAAATATGTGTGCGATAAATATTTTAAACATGCAAAGCCACAACATAGACAGCGTATAAACCTTTTTAATTTGAAAAATCTTTACTTAAAAAATTCATCCTGCAATAGATCTGCATTTTTTAAATTTTTAAATTTTGCACAAATTTAATAATACTCCCGCGCTGAAAGTCACTATATATTAAAAAAAATAAAAAAAAAAAAAAATAAAATAACGGTATTGTATTTCAATATCAGTATAAAGCGTTAACTAAGCGTTGATATTGATTAATATCATTACGAAGCGTTAATTAAGCGTTGATATCGATTAATATCAGCACGAAGCATTAATTAAGCGTTGATATCAACTAATTAAGAGCATTACTGATTAAAACTAAGTATTTTTAAAAAAAATTATTTATCATGTCTAAATCAAAGACAACTATACCTGAAAATTTCTCATCTCTAAAATGTTTGTTTTGCCTTCTACTATCATACCTGTTACAAAAATCAAAATGACAATTTAGTAAATTTTAACAAAATTTTTAAGCAAAGTAGATTCACTTATGAAAATTAACTTATTAATTTAAACAAATCAATTTTAAAAAAAAAATGTAATGAAATTGTTGGCACCAGTCTTCTTTTTCATTTAAACACAATGCCATAGTTTGCAAGAACACAAAATGTATTTGCCCTTTGTTAAAATCTTTGGAATTTTATGTTTGCAGAAAAGCATGTAGCATGCGAGAATTCAATTGAATTTTTTTTTCCATAATTGTTTAATGAATCTAAGCCAGATGATTTTTCATCAGACAGATGATTTTAGATTATGTATTTTTCAAAAGACAAAACGCAAATAAAAATACTCGCTGCTATTCGGGCGCATGTATTGATTTTGATGCTTTATTCTTTGCAAAGAAATGTCTTGTAAATTTTATAACTTGGCAAATAAAGTTTTAAATAGAGTAAAATAAAAAGTAAATAATAATTCAACATTTAAATGTATAAATAACATTTAAATGTCAAAATAACCTTATGATTTCTAAATGATCACAGTGCACCAATATACGTAATATATATATATATATATATATATATATATATATATATATATATATATATATATATATATATATATATATATATATATATATATATATATATATATATATATATATATATATATTATTGTTATTTTTAGTATTATTAACTATTATTTATTATTAGTATATTATTATTAGTATTATTTCTATAAACATAGTTTTAAAAGATTCAAATGCAAAAAAAAAATAAAAAAAAATTAAACAAATTATTACCTACAAACGCCGTGAATAACAAACTTTATCTTGTTACAATGAAGAAATAAAAATTGAAAACAGCTTTTTAAGTACTAAAACGTGGTCCAATGTTCTCCGCCCTTAAGGTGGTTCTATCTTTTACCTATAAAGCGGCGCCTTATTTAATATTTAATTTATATACGAAATTATACGTTAAGAGGAGAATAATGGAAAATTGATGCAACTATTTTTAGGACTAGTTTACATGAAAAAATAGATTTCATTATTTTGTTTACATTTCTATGCTATATTGCAACATAGCTTAGCATAATAACTAGGATACCGTAGCTATGGTAACTAGGGTGCTTTAAAAACCTCGATGATGAGTTTATTTATATAATTATTTATACATTTTATTTCAATAAAAAAGATTGTTGACTAAAAAATGTAGTTTTCTTTTAGTTTTTTTACTATTAAATCACCGATTTCTTTTAACAGACATTATCATCAATAGCAAAGTAATGTTATTTTGTTTTTAAACATACGGACTACCGGTCTATTTAATTTTGTTTACTGACGTTTTTGTTGTTGTTTGCAAATGTTCGCACAAGCATCGGCAAATTTGTATTATTAATGAAGTGGAAGAAATCAGGCTTCCATACACTCCTTGATTGAAAAAAAAAATTATTGACTCCATGGATATATGTTTTTTAATGTATATTTTGATCTTATTGTTTACAATGTATTTAATGTTATATTATCTCTGTTTTGTTCTTTTTTTGGATCTTTAGTGATAAGGACCAATGATATATTAATTTATTCAGCCTGACCACTCCTCTGACGGCCTTATTATCTATGAAGATGATTTGATAAAAAACGGAAGCACAACTATGATTTGAGAAAATATTTTGCATTTAAAAAAACTCGTAATTTTTTTAATAAGACATCCTCTTTTTATTTTATTATCTTGTGTTTTATTTTTGGCCTGTATTTGATTTACAAAATCTGCATCGCTTGTAGTGATTTCTTTTAGACTTCGTTAACCCTATATATATATATATATAATGTATATATATATATATATATATATATATATATATATATATATATATATATATATATATATATATATATATATATATATATATATATATATATATATATATATATATATATATATATATATATATATATATATATTAGGTTTATCTTTTTTTTTTCTTCATTTTTATTCGTTTCTATTACTCATACAAATTTATAATTATTGATAGTTTTAGAAAATAAATTATCAAAAATTCTTGCAAACTTTCTTACCTGAGAGTAGAAGAAAATCAAAGCGCAAATTTTGTAAAAATCTATTCTTTCATTGCAAATATTTAGTAACCTAGAAATTTTATCCACTTAGCAGTGAATGATGGCATTCAAACCGTCAAAGCGAGAAAAATTTGAATAGATTGCATTTTGACCCCGTATCGCGGAATGAATAATATATGTTATATATAAACGAGGCATGAAAATTGTTAATTAATCTCGGTTTGCAGCTTGATATTAAACTTTTTCTTTCAAAAACATTGCAAAATTAAAAAAACTATATTTGAAAATTAAAAGAAGATATTTAAAAGTTTATAACAAGAAAATCGCTTAATTTTATTTTGGAATTAAAATATGCAACTTTAAAATATAAAAGAGTTTTCAAAATTTAAAAGGATTACGAGGAAAAAATACAAAACATTAATTATTAAACTGATAAATCAAGTTATACCTCATAAACTTGTTCAATTCACTTAGCTAATGCTTTTGAATTTGTGCACGTGTTACTTATAAAAAAAACTTTTCATCGCAGCGAAGAAAACGTTTTTTAAAAATGCTGTTCGATTATTTATGATCTTTCTCATTAAAATTCTTTAATTGCATTATTCTAATGCGCCTGTAGGGAATGGAAAAATAAAATATTTCAATTACAACCAAACTAACCGCTTGCATTTATTCCGCCAAGCTGCGAATATGTTTGATTAAATGTTTGGTTACAAAAATATGCAGAGGAGGTAGATTTATATTTTGAGGACAAAGAATAATAATTTTTGAGAAATTACCTACCAGCTATTACACAATTTCAAAAGAGATGTTTATTTTTTAAAAAAGATTTGAACTAGGTTTATTAACGCAACGAAAAAAACCGTTGCATGCGGAATTTATATATAAAAAAAATACATGCCCAAATTTTGATTCGATTAGTTTATTGTTTCAAAATGTTTTATCATAGACTAAAAAAAAAAAAAGTAGATAAGTTTACGGTTTTGTATAAATATCTGTTAAATATTTGTATAATATTTTTAGAAAATCAATTTAACATCATTAGGGTTTAAATATTATATTTTTTAAAAGAAAATATTTGCCGACCTACCGGCTCTTGTTGATTATTTTTTGATAAAATTTTTACCGTACTTTTAACGAGTTTCTAACGAACATCTGATAGACTTTTATTAGAAAATGTTGACAATACATTTTAGCAATGGCATCTGGTAGCGAAATATACATTAATATTTGATATTATAATGACTGTGGGTCGAACTTGTTTTATTTTCATTTTTTCAAGGTAGACAAATTATGAGTATGTTTCCGTCTGCTTCGCTTTTATAAGCATTGTGTCATACATTTTATGTTATTATAAGCATTGTGTCATACTATTTGGCGTCTTATATCTATTTTTGTCACATCATTTGCAAATAAATAAAAAATGATATGATCTAGAACTTAATTAAACTGATAAAATAACTTAATCTAATTTCTTAACTTTTTACAATAATGAAAAAAAAATTGTTTTTTGCAAAATATTTGAAATCTTATAATGTTAATGTGTCTCGCTTTACTATGGACTTTAAAATCTAGGGGAGAGGAATACAAGCTCACTCCCGAATTGTGCGCAAAATCTTTTTTAAAACCCAAATTGTTTGACTCATACATTAAAATCTATAATCCCGTGTCTGGTACATGAAATTCTTTTATTTCAAAGTTATACTTCCTTCATGCAAAAGTATTTATATAAAGTTTAGTCAGTAGTTAATTTGAGTTCTGTTAATATGTATTAGTGCATTTGGGTTGGTAGGCGAAATTAATTGTTGATAACTTCATAATTGTTGATCAGTATAAAGGTTGTGGGTGTATTAACAGAAAATATATATTTTAGAAACTTATCTTATGTAAAGTAGTTTATTTGCATATATATATATATATATATATATATATATATATATATATATATATATATATATATATATATATATATACATACATATATATATATATATATATATATATATATATATATATATATATATATATATATATATATATATATATATATATATATATATATATATATATATATATATATATATATATATATATATATATATATATATATATATATATATATATATATATATAAATATATACATACATATTATTTAAAAGGCAACGTGCTTTTTTTGATTACAAAAATCTGGAGATGTTATCTTTTTTTAGAGGATGGGAGTAAAACAAAATGAACCCTCCTATAAGTAAATGTATCACTCTGCTCATCCATGCGTAATAGAAAGGATTTGATTTTATAGTTTATTATTTTTAACATGTATTATTATTATTATTATTATTATTATACATTATATAATTACAACTATTATTATTATTATTATTTATTATACAATTATTGTTTGTATTGTTTTATTTTTATATTTAAATATTTTTATATTTAAATTTATATTTACATTTAAAATTAAGTCATTTAATTAATGAGCACTTTAAACTACAATACTTTTAAAAAATGCACAAAATGACTTAAAAACAAGCAATTTTTTTAATATGTATATATATATATATATATATATATATATATATATATATATATATATATATATATATATATATATATATATATATATATATATATATATATATATATATATATATATATATATATATATATATATATATATATATATATATATATATATATATATATATATATATATATGTATATATATATATAAAAACTGGGAAAAATAGCAAGTTAAATGAATATTTTGTAAAAGAAACAATGGAAGAATAAAAAAAGATTTAGGAAGAAGAACTACTTCGCAAAAGGTAAATTAAAAACGATAAAATTTATTGACGAATATTTTAAAAACAAACACGCAAAATTTTACTAGGCGAAACATTATTCTTAACATAACAAAAAGGTTTTAAAAAACCTTAATGTAATGTTTTAAAACGGCTTAACTTTTCTGACGCAGATTTATATTTTTTTTAGGAGAAACAATTTTACTTTTTTTACAAACAGAAATCTTTAAAAGTGAATTTTCAATATTTTAAATTATATAAAATAATATTTTAAAGTTACGGCAATACGCATAAACAGAAGTATAAATAGCATCATTGATAAATTTTCTTATCAAATGCACTTGTCAAGTTTAGCTTAAAAGTTTGATTACTTCAAAATATTTCATTACAAAGAATAATAAACAGACTGATCTATAAAGAGAATGAATTGTTTGGTGTACACCCTGAGATGGTGTACACTTTGACAAGAAAATCAACATTTTTGGGAATCTTAAGTTTTTTCAAATATATTTGTGGAACGTTGCAATATTATAAAAAAGTGTTTATATATTAACATAATGCAACTCATGTACAATCACAGATGAGCCTAATAACAACTCGTAGATGAGCCCAGTGCCGGATCAAAGGGCCCCCGCAAATTTAGGGGCCTCCAAAAATTTTGAAGGCCTTTTTTTTTTTATTTTTAGTAATTTTTAGGCTCTGGCCCATAATAAGGCCTCCAAAAAGCAAAAGTAGCCCCGGGTCCCAAGAAGTCCTAATCCGCCACTGGATGAGCCTAATAAAATACTCGTATCAACTTCTGACATTGAAAGTTGTATTCTTAAGCTTAGATCTAATAGATCACGTGATATCTGCAGAATTACTGCAGAACATCTTAAATACTCCTATAACAACAACGTACTTACATGGCTTTCAAAGTTTTAAAACAATATCTTTAATAATGGAACGGTGCCGGAGTACCTATCAACATCCATAATTATTCCAATAGTATCCTATAAAAAATCTCTTGATAATCCTGATAACTATCGTATAATTAGTAGCATGCCTGTTTTGAAAAAGCTCTTTGAATACATTATTATAGATAAATGTCCGGAAATATCAAATAGCCACTCTCATTAATTTGGCTTCAAACACAATAGCTCCATTCTTCATGCAAAGTTTCTTTTAAGTGAAACAATAAAATATTACAATAATAATTACTCATCAATATATATTTCTGTAGTTTGGATGCAAAC